ATTTTTATGAATCTATAAGTCCTACAATGCATGAAAGGACAACTAATATTCCCTGGAGTGCTCCAAACTCATAAATGTCCAATCTTGGGGACAAAAAGCTCATAAAGCTTCAACCATGGAGATCGACTATGAAACTCATCAAGGTATAAACTTTATACCTGAAAAAGATGCACAATGAGGAAATGTTTTTGTATCCAGAAGCTTCGAAGCAACAAGTCCTTCTCCTCTAGCCTCCTCTTCAACAATATGCACCAAAACCACTTAATAAGCTCCCAAAACTCACACAAACGACTTAGACACAAAATTAGGGTTTGAGGACAGAATGGTAGCTGATAAAGATAGTCCAAAGGGGATATAAAGTTGTTTAAACAGTGAGCAACCCTTAAAATTAGGGTTTGGAGGCTGGGCTAGTACCCCCGGCGTACCATACGTACACCAAGCATATGGCCAAAATGCAATCCTTTTTTCTCAAGGAACCAATTGTGCAACTTTTTGTTAACTTAAGAGCAATAATAATAATTCCTTATATTTGGATGTTATAGTTTACTGCCAAAGTTACTTACTTACAAAACATTGGATTAGTATCACATATACAACATTTAAGGTTCGAGTGTTGAGGATGAAGAAATTTATACCCAACACAAATAAGAAGTGTTATCAATCGAACTAATTATTATGGATGAACACGTTATGTTCAAAGTTTACTATTTACGTTTACTTATAGAATATTATTTGATAATATTAGTGTATATTACTCTTAGCCCATCTATTGATTAGCCCATCATTGTTCTGTATAAGAGATTTTCTCCCTCTAACCCTCGCTGTCGTCGCTCCCACCTTCTCCCCTTCTTCTCTTTCTTTTCTTTCATGGCAGATGCAAATCTAAAACCGTTTAGCATAAACAACATTAAGTCATTTGTTCCCTTGATTCTTGACCTGAATCAGTTGAACTATGACTCTTGGAGAGTCCTTTTTGAGACCCACTGCATAGCTTATGGAGTTTATGGTCATCTTGATGGCTCCTCCCGTCCGAAGGATGACAAGGATGAGCCATGGCACAATGTTGATAACCTCGTTTCCATGTGGATCTATGGCACACTCACTCGACCCCTTCTCACCATGGTGCTCAAAAGTGGTTACAAGGCTCGAGACGTCTGGAAAGCACTTGAAGACCTTTTCCAAGACAACAAAGACGCACGTTCTATAGAACTTGAGAATGAATTGCGTTCTATGGTATTTGGGGACCGAACCATTCTTGAATATTGTCAGAAACTCAATGTTGTTGCTGAACTATTAGCAAACATCAGGACACCCATCCCCGAGAAAACCTTGGTCACGCATCTCCTCAATCGCTTGGGTCCCAAGTTTGACAACATTGCTACTGTTATTCGCCATTGTGAGCCACTTCCAAGCTTCTTTCAAGCCCGCTCCATGCTCGTTCTTGAAGAACAACGGTTTGATCGAACTCGTCCTTTGCATGCCTCCCACTCGGACCATTCTCTATCTTCTCAGGTTCTCCATACCGCAACTGATGGGTCTAAATCTCAGCCTCGGGGGAACCCTACCTGTGCTCCAAATTACAGCAACCACCACCAAGGACCACCACGCGACAACCGTTGTAACAACAACCACGATACTCATCGACAGCAGCCCTTGGCGTGTTGTCAACAGTAGCAGCGGCCTTCTGAATCGCTTCCTTGGCCTCATTATCCTTCACCGTGATGGCCTCCTTCCTCTAGGTTCACTTACCGATCACCACAACAACCTCCATCTCTCAACAACTCGCCATCTTCTTCCCAACAACAACTTGCAATTCTCGGCCAGCACCCTGCATCAATGCCTCTAGCTACTTTCCATGTCACCTAATCCACTCCAATACAGCCTTCATGGAATTGGTTTCCTCCAATAGCAAGTGATCAAGCCACAAATATTGGTAAAGCTTTTAGCTCCATGTCTCTTCAACAGCCAAATGATTCCACCTGGTTCATGGACACAGGTGCCACTTCTCATTCATCATCTTCCTCAGAGCTACTCCAACGTATCATCACCATGCTTACCACTGAATTTTCCATGACTGATCTGGGACACCTGTCATATTTCATTGGAGTTTCGGCCTCTCGTCAGAAATCTGGTCTATTCCTCTCTCAATGCAAATATGCGTTGACTTCTCCAGTGTGCTCACATGTCTACATGCAATCCATGTCACACTCCTACTGAGCCTCATTCAAAGTTATCTCATGTTGCTACTCACGTTTCTGAACCCACTCTATACCGTAGTCTTGCAGGTGGTCTCTAATATCTTACTTTCACTCGCCCAAACATCTCCTATGTAGTGCACCAAATTTGCTTATATATGCATGACCCTCGTGAGCCTCATCTCCACGCTCTCAAGCGCATCCTTCGATACATTTAAGGCACGATTGATTACGGTATTCATATCCAAGCCTCCTCGACATCCAGTCTTATCGCTTACGCTGATGCTGACTAGGGAGGGTGCTGACTCCAGGTTATTTTGTTTATTTTGGTGACAACATCATTTCCTGGTCTTCTCAACGCCGTGTCTAGATCAAATGCAGAGGCTGAATAACAAAGGCCACTATTGTATACCGTGACAATGTCATTGACATGTATCTTTCTTCCAATCATGTACAACATCAGCGGACAAAACACATAGAGATTGACATTCACTTTGTACAAGATCGAGTTGGTATCGGTCAGGTCCGAGTTGTACATGTTCCATCCTCTCTTCAGTATGCAGATATTTTCATGAAAGGGCTTCCACAATATTTGTTTTTTGATTGTCGATCCAGTTTGAGTGTTCGACCTTCATCTACCCCTCGAACTACGGGGCCTATTAATGTATATTACTCATAGCCCATGTATTGATTAGCCCATCATTGTTCTGTATAGGCCCAGTTTTATATTTGAATATTGTATATATACTTGTATTGGTGTTTCAGAAAGGTAATGAATTAAAATTTTCATTCTATTAGATAACAAACTTGCTCGACCAATTTTTGTTTTGGTTAGTTATTTTACTTCTTTTTTAGCATTCTTTAAATTATTTACATAATTCATATTATTGTTTTGTACATTTGTAGATGTTATCGGACATGTCATATCACGACGTACTCAAGACACATCTAATCCAAATCCAGCAAGTCAAAACATGAAGTCGACCTTAACAAACATAGAGTGAATTCTTTAACCTTTTTTTTTGTGATATTTCTCATATATATGTAGATTGTTGTTTTAAAATAATTACTTTTTAATTGCAGGGGTACATTGCTTAAGGTTACTTTGTTTGGAGTTTAAGCTCACAAACTACAGATTCTATGACAAAAATCACAAAAAAAAAAATTGTGTTATATTAATTAGCCAATTTGCTACACTCAACGTTTGGAATGGTTTGTGCTATGAGTTTAATATCTACTTCGTAAATAAAAAGTGTTTTTTTTTTGTTAGAGGTCTTGGTGGAGTTTCATCTTATTTTGACGCATCTAATTTGTTTATTAATGGAGACCTTTTTGAGATTAATGAATACAAGAAAAAGTTAGTTTCATTTTTACAGGGCACACAAATCGAAGCTCACGTTTTCTATAGTAACTTCAACAGGTTCCAACATCTTCTAAAACTTAAAGAAACTTAAGTAATACAAACTCAACTGCAACAAGTGAAGGTTTTAGTATTACTAGCCAAGACCAACAAATTGTGTTACAATGTAAAACTCTTCTTAAGATTTGTTCTAATTTTACGAGTCGATTTCATGGCTTTGTTTTTTTGTACTCTACTTCAATTCTACAACAAACTTGCTCGACTAATTTGTGTTTTGGTTAGTTATTTTACTTCTTTTTTTTACATTCCTTAAATTATTCATATAATTCACATTATTGTTTTGTACATTTGTAGATGTTATCGGACATGCCATATCACAACGTACTCTAGACACATCGAATCCAAATCCATCAAGTCACAACATGTAGTTGACCTTAAGCAACATAGAGTGAATTCTTTAACCTTTTTTATGTGATATTTTTCATATATATGTTGTTTGATGTTTTAAAGTAATTACATTTTTTTGTAGGGGTACATTGCTTAAGGTTACTTTGTTTGGAGTTCAAGCTCATCAACTATCAGATTTTACGACAAAAAAAAAAAAAAAAAAAAAAAAAAAAAAAAAAACATTATGTTTGTTTAATCAGCCAATTTTCTACACTCAACGTTTGGAATGGTTTTTCCTGTTAGTCTAATTTTTACTTCGTACATAAAAAGAGTTTTTTTATTTGATTTTTTTACCGATCATGGTGGAGTTTCATCTTATCTGGACGCATCTAGTTTGTTTATTAATGCATACCATTTTTAGATTAAAGAAAATACAAGAAAAAGTTAGTTTCATTATTACAATCTTTTAATTTGATACATAACTCTTCATCTTGTTCCCCTTTATATATTCATGGATATTAAAAGTTTTAAATTAGTATAACTATAATTCCAAGTCATACTTTTTCTTATAATGATGAGTTTAAAGGTCATTATTAAATAAAAAATGTTTTTGATATCAACGAGCCATTGAAGGTATATTATCACCTTTAAAGTTATTTATTATCTTTTTTTTTACATACAAAGATTTTTTAATCCACCTTTGGTATGGTTATAGGAATCTAAGTTCATTTTACTTGGAACAATCACAGGAATTAGACATGACTATCCTTGGTTTTTTGATGCATGTACGGATGTGGAAAAAAGGTTATAGAGGTTTATAGTATTGATCTTACATCTGATTCCCAAAAAGGCATATCATATATGTAAATAATTTCCGATGGCTACCACAAATTTTAGCAACAATTTTTTCCATCGGTAATTAATAACCGATCACTGACAAAATATTTTTTTTGCAAAGGATTACCGACGAAATTTGGGAAAACTCAGTAATGGATTACCAATAGATTTTATGTGACAGGTTATCGGCGAATTTTGGCATTATAAAAAAATATAAATTTATGAAAAAATTAACGATAATTACATATTCAACACAATAAAAATCTTGAAGCGTACATAAAATGAATATTTTAAAACCAGCAAATATAAGTCCCCCAATAGAGTATCCATTATTCATTCATTCATTCATTACATACGTTATTTTCCATGGAAAGAGTAAAACGAAAACCATCTTGAAATGTAACTCCACCTTGAGACCCCACAACCTCCTTTTCTAACAAAGATGTTCCATAGAATTCCACCATTGATGTCGATGCTCTGCAACATTTTCCACAAATACACGAAGCATTCCAGCTGTAACAACTTTTAACCTGCACAATTTATAATATTTATAACAATAATATTGATGATGATAAGTTTGTACAACATATGAAAATAAATACCAAATGAAAAGTGTGAGCTTACTCTACTATCAGCATAGCACATTGAACTTTGAAGTCGGAATCACCTATTGTCTGCCTATTGGTTGGAGAAAAAGATTAGAAAAAAAAAATTAGATGTTAGAAATAAAAAAATAAAAATGAAGTAAATAGTTTTATACCTTCTTACCCATAAGCCATTGATGGAATAAAATCACTTCCGGTAATGGAATCAACAATAGATGTGAAGTGTTTCTGTTACAATCAACGAAAACCAGCAGAAATAAAATAAATGGTTATCAATTGATTAATCTGTAGCAGGTGTGTAGAATAATAATAAAAACACTACTTTATAGTTTATAGTTTATACTCACATGAAAGATATCAACAGCTTGTGAAAGCAACATTTTGTTGTCATTAGAAACATCAGAATTGGTGATACCGATTCCGATTCCCATTCCGATTCCTCCGAAACACTGACCTTTGATTTCTTCGTAATGAAACCCATAAGAGAATCAGGGACCTTCATGGGCCCACATGCCACCAACTTCTAAAGAACTGAATGATGTATTCCACAGTCCACCGTGCAGAACAAATTCCAGATGGCAAATCCTGTAACACATCAACAATCTCATATTAAATCAAGTGAAAAAGGTTGGAAATTTTAGCAAATTGAGATTCAAATTAACACACCTTCAGATCGATTCTCTTATGTGGCCTCAAACACCCTATGTGGTATTCCCTTTCACACTGCAAGGAGAATAAATCTAACAATCAGAAATGAAAACACAGCATAACTGGAATTTTTTTGAATGTCCATTTTAACCTTGGACCAAAACTAGCAGTACACTACAGGGACCAAATTTATTGATATTTAAGGAATAAGCATGTCACGAACTACTGATCAGATTTAGACACTACTGAAGAGCTAGAAGATATAGCATAAATTGGAAAGTTGAGCAATAAAAATTCATTGGAATCAAAAAAATTACATAAGAAAACGTTTTATAAACTTACCTTTGAAAGGGTAAGCTAGGTAGAGTGGCCTCTGGACAAACCCACAAAACCGACTCTTGAAATGCTATGAACACCTAACTGGTACCGATCTGATTCTACTAGACTGACAACAGATCAAGAAATAGTGTGAGTGACAGGAGAACAGCATATATAAACTTCGAAACAACAAAAAAAGGACAAAACAGCTTCAAAACACATGATTCAGAATGATAACTTACATGCTTTTTCTTACAAAATATTGCGGATCTTTGCTAGTTTTTTGATCTGTGTGCATGATAGAGAATTTTTTTTTGAAATCAACACATAAAAGTCTTGGTGATTTGCATGACCCAAAAAGACGCAGATCGATAACTTTATCAAAACAATGCATGATTTTCAGATATGCATTATCATACTAAGCCAGTACTTGAATATTTTGATGTGTGGATCCTGGATCTAGATTCAGTTGATTATGACAGCGGCTGTGGATCCTGAACATCTAATATATAGTAAGAAAAGTGTGGGCGTCAACCCTAACCCTGATCTCTACCGATGGTGATTTGCATCAACCTCCCCTAAAATTGTACATATCGTCACATACAGCCCAACCATTACGCAAAATGACAATTTTGTTTCTTGATGAATAAAGTGGTACCGGATTTTTTATTTGTAGTTTTTTTAACAGATCTTAAATATTTGTAAATGGCCATATATAATACTCCTTACTATACATAACTATTTTTTTTTTTAACTTTGTTTATATTTTTTTCAAAAACACTTGATACATTTTTCTTTCTTGTTTAATTGAGAATGTCTTCTATCATTTGACATTGTGATTATTCCAGGTTGAGTATACCATATTCATTGTTTAGCCTTTTATCATGAAAGGGTGTAATTAGAACAAACTTATTATAATGTCCGGCTACAAAATTAGTGGTTTCACGAAAAGTTAAAATTACGAGTGTGTTTAATGAAATCATAATAATATTGTATACTGACAATTATATTTATTTAAAAATTAAATTTTATGATGAAAATGATCTTAATAATGTACATAAGGTAAAATTGTACATATATTTTTCGCCTTGCATTCCCTCGAGTTAAACTCTCTAAGTCTAAAGAAAGTTCGACGAAAAAGATTCAATTTTATGAAAGGTATGTCAGAAAGTTTATTTGGATGATTATTGGATTACTCACACCCGGTGTTTTGATATTTACACATTGTGCTATATTTATTGCGACTTTGAATTTAAAGTATAGTTGGATTCCTTTTTTGTTTCAACACGATATGAGTTATAGAACATGTCAACGATAGTTGAATGACGTTTGATAAGCATGCAAGAAACATAGCACATGCACAAACTTCCAATGGACGATTGATTCTCGAGGATCAAGTTTGTTGGTAAATATCCATTGATGGTCGATCATTAATTTCCCTAATAACATAGTTTAGAATTTTTTATCAAAATATATTTCAAGAATTGGTCTAAGTTTGAAAACTAATGTTCGATTTAATGAACTTACCAAAATTAACTATGGGTAACGTGACAACTGTGTCAAGCATCTGTTACATGGTATTTCTCCTTGAGTAACGCCAAGAAACCCTAGACTCCTCCCCGATATTATATACTCCACCACTAACGTTCTATATTCCTCAATAAACAACAAGAGGGAAACAAAATAAGTGGTATTTAGGGGTAAAATGGTCATTTTCTTTTCATCTTATTTTAGTACAATGCTACTTAACACAATTACCTATACCACACTTTATACGCAAAAAAAAAAAACAATTTATTTTTTTCCGCTACCTCATAAACATGAAAACTATGGGTGATTTAAAAAAATAAGTAGCATCTTCTTAAAACAGGGGTATTTTAGGTAATTAGATTGTTTTAATTTCTTATGCACAGTACATAAAGTATACAATACATAAAGTATACAGGTAGAAATAAGGGCGATCCCGCCTAGGGTGTCCGTGGGCAACCCTTATTTTTGGATTTTTTTTATAAGTTATATAATAAAATTTATATGGACACCTGTTAAGAATTAGTAGTATATACAAATTTATTTGGATCTTAGAAGATAGTTATCCAGGAAAAAAATTTGATTTATAAATATCTTAATTTATATTTGATTTTTCAAACTAGTTAAATACAAGAAATAAAAAAAATATTCTTATAAACCCATTAAATACAAAAAATTAACACGGACTTTGAGGAATAAAAGATAAAAAAGACTACAAATACATAAAACCTAAAAAAACAAAATTACATAATATTTACTCATTGTCAGCGTCCTCAACCGCTTTTAAGCCCATCGACGTTGTTTGTTGTGCAGTGACACAATCATCTACCACTCTCCGGTGACTGAAAAGCTTGAACTTCATCTTCCTATATCTCCACATACTATCTCAAACTCTCCATTTTTTATGTGAGTTTATGCTCAACCCTTTTTATTTTTTAATTTATAAACATTGAAACTATAAATCTGAAAAGGCTATAAGTAGTGTAAATTTTTTAATGCACTTGGTACTCTATTAGTTGTTTAATAGACTCTCTCTCTCTCTCTCTCTCTCTCTCTCTCTCTCTCTCTCTCTCTCTCTCTCTCTCTCTCTCTCTCTCTCTCTCTCTCTCTCTCTCTCCTCTCTCTCTCTCTCTCTCTCTCTCTCTCTCTCTCTGTTGATATGGTTTATTATATCGACAATAGCATGACATAGACAATAGCATATTCCCGAATAGTAGAAATCATGTTTACCATTACCTTTTATTAATTACATGTACTAAATCAAATTTACCATTTTACAAAATTACTTTATACAATGGTTCATCATTTATGATTTTAAATTTGATTTATCCAACCATCATTAAATGCAGTATATATATTTTTTAATCAATAGTTTGATTTAGACTTTTATAATATTAATAGTGATGCTCTAAAATTAATAGATGAGTAGTAAACTTGTATTAATTTTTTAGATTGTAATTAGGTTTAGAATTTCTGAATTTATATGACTTTGTGATGATTATTTTTTATTCCAATTATAATGCTAAGGTTTGTCAAAAAGATAAATTAAACCAGTTCTTCATCTAATGATAATGAATAACCCCATGTAAATGATGAGCAACAAAGTCCTCCTTCAAACTACATAAAATTTGATTTAAATATGCTCCCCGCGGATCCGAGAGAAAGACCTAGTATAGAACTTTACCATGTTAATCAGCGGGATGAAATTAGAAGAGCCTACTTGTAAAAAGCACCTTAACAACCACAAAATCATTCTTTCCAACAAAGAGAGATCGTAGGTAGACTTCATAGATATAATCCCTCTTGGTTTGATGCTTATAAATATTGGATGGAGTATTGTATAAATCTAGAGGTTGCATTTTTTTATGTTGTTTTCTATTCAAATCGGAGATTAAAAACCAAGGTGGTTCTGATCATTTTGTTAAAAATGGATTTAATACTTGGAACAAAAGATTGAGTTTGGATCTTCATAATGATGGAAATCTGCATAATATGGCAGTCCAAAAATGTCAAAATTTGATGAACCAAAAACAATCCATACCCACAGCTTTTGATAAGCAAAGCGATTTGATGAAAAATGATCATCGTCTCATATTAAATGTTTCAATTGATTGTGTCACATTCTTATCGCGGCAAGAATTATCTTTTAGGGATCATGATGAGAGAAAAGACTCGATTAAAAGACTCGAGTCTTTTATCGTTAGTGTAAGAATACAAAATTCTTGCCACTATCAGAATATGTTAGATTCTAACATTTGATGCGATGATCATTTCGTAATGTTACAGCACAAAAATCACTAAGATTCGGCCAATGAAATTAGAAAGTTCTCTATCAGAGATTGTTGCAAGACAATTCCGTAGACGTGAAGTCTCACATTCAAAGCACATTCCTTTGAACATCCTTCTTGCATAAAAGTTTCTAATCTAGACATAAATTCTTAATATTCAACTCTCATTTATGGAAACATTTCCATATTTGCCATATGACAACTCATTCTAAATAGAATCTTATATATTCATAATAAAGTGAATATAACGCATCCAATACAAATCCAGATCGTCCTTTGGTCCAGTTCTGGTCCTTTCCTTCTTAATGCCCTAGGCATTTGGAAAATCAGAACGGTCAGATATTATAGCATATGCAATCGATCATATACCTGAAGCGTATAGGACATGATTCATAATGTCTCACATAAGGACGTTATACTAGACCAGTCCCCTGCTATAATATTTCTAATTACCATGTTCTCACAATTTTGATTATGAAGAGGGATGCCGTAATCATAACTAAATTTTGAGAATGCAATTATCCTTTCCATATATCGAATTTCCTTACGTTGAACCATTCCAACATAACATCCATATATATTTGACTAAATTTGACTAAAATCTCACAATCTAAGCTTTTAGATTTGAAATGAAGTATAATATTATCTCCCTTAATTATAGCAAAACAACTTTTCAACCTTTGCAACTTTACAAATTGAAACTTTTGTTTTCTATCATTAACATTGCTAACTTGCAAAACATAATAATCATGCTCCCACTAACATGATAATTATCTTCTTACCAGCATAACACTTATGCTCCCACTGGCTTGTAATGTATTCAGAAATCAGTTGGACTTCTAGAAATCAATACTTATTGACTTTCTTACCAAAGTTCATATTTCTGATATTAGATGCTTTGATAAATCTATATCTAAGCTCATACACCCTTGAGAAAGCTCAAATGCGTGTCTAAACAATTTCAGAACTTATATCAATAAGTCCTAATTGTTCAAACCAGTTGCCATTTCTCACAATTCGAACTATGAAGAGGAATGCCGTAATCATAATCGAATTTGAGAATGCAATTTTCACAACTGCTATCTCCTTAAAATCTCTCTTAGTGAAAGCGTTTCCTCACAATCAATTTCATGAAGCGGAGAGAAACCTTATGACACTTTAGATTTTATAGTGTATGTGTTCCTATCCATGTGAATTTGCCATAACCATGATCGTAAGACAAGGTTTGCGACAAATCCAAACTCATATGGACTGAACTTGTTCAATCTCGATTTCTTGCCTTATGGCAGCACGAATGCCCACCATGTCTTCCAAGTTGTTCAGCAACTCACCCCTACATATCAATGTACTTTCCATTGATCAAGGTTCTTTGCATTTATGCATTCAAATGAGAACTCATAGAACTCACATGCACAATTATCTCAACAGGAATGGCACAGAAACAAGGAACATGTCAACGCGATAGGTTATAAACCTCAAGTCGTGTGCTAGTGATGATCAACTAGGTTTATTCTTGATTAGTTCTTGTGACTTTTCAAGATCCTTAAAACTCCCACTGACCTCTTGACATATATGATTCTCTTGTCAAGAAACATTCCTTGACAAAACAAATATTCAAGAGTTAGTACGAACTCCTATCAAGACTAACACTTTACTTAAATTGTTCTAGTTGGTCTTTGT